TTTTCCCAACATGCTCCACTATGCGGTGCATATCCTCTCTGAAATTGAAGGCGAGAAGCTCGTCCACCTCATCCAGAACCAAAAACCGGCAGCCGTGGGTGCGGAGCTTTCCCGACGCGCTTATCTCAGCTATCCGGCCTGGTGTCCCCACAACAATGGCAGGCTTGTTCTTTTTGAGGGCCTCCTCTTGCCGGGCTTTGTTCGCGCCCCCCACCAGCTGCTGCACCATCCTCTTGTCCGAAGGCCCCAGTAGCTTCTCGACTTCACGCACAATCTGCATCCCAAGCTCCCGAGATGGGGCCACGACAACTGCCTCGACATCGGTTCTAGCCCGGTGCCCGTCGCTGTCCTTCCCGAGCGGGCCCACCTCAGAAAGTATGGGAAGGAGGTAGGCTAGGGTTTTGCCAGAGCCCGTGTAGGACTGAATCACAACGTCGTGGTCCTTAAGAATGGTGGGGATTGCAGCAGCCTGGACGTCAGTCGGGACTTTGTATCCTTCTTTCTCCAACCTCTCGACTAGTAATGGAGGAAGGCCGAGTTCCGAGAAGGATTTTGCGGCAAATGGAGCTAATGCAGCTACGTCGACTCTCTCTTTCGTCTTAATAACTTTAGTTTCTTTAGGGGTGACAGGTTTTTCCCTTCTTTTGGGAACCTCGATGGTGGAAACCCCTAGCTTGAGCTTGTTTTTCTCATTTCCCTTTCCCGCCTTGATTTCCCCCTTGAAACCGAGATTTGCAAGGGTGAGAGGCTCACTCTTGGTACTCACACGACCGAAAAAACGTACGCCGCTCGGTTGTGCTGCTATGCGTGAGAAGCCATAGGATTTGGTGGCGGATAAGGTATCCCCCATAAGAAGAAGAACCCTTGAAGCAGCCAAAGCAGACATCTTCTTCGTCGAAATTACAAATAGTGTGGATTAGTGGCGATCAACTATTCACAGCGTAACCGAAAAATGAAGATGGTCTTCACAATCGCATACTCAATTCTCAGGGCATCGTCCGAATTCAGTTAATTTCTGTGCTAGGTCTAAAATCAAGAAACAGAATAAATAAAGAAAAAAAAAAATATAAGAAATGAAATGAGAATTCAACAATGGAAACATAAAAAACTCGTGGGGAAACATTTTCGATTGAAGCATATATCTATATGAAAGAAAATTCAGAGGGTGGCTTAGGGCTCCATTATCTCATCAATTTAGGCATTTTGTCAAACAGGTATACTACAATTTGTACCAGTAAGTAACTAGTAACAGCAGAGTGCATCTCCGTGTGACTCTTGGGAGCGGCCAACCTTGAGAAGACGATGCTAGAAGTTGAAGACCTAAAGTAGCAGCAAACGCAGAGCAGAAGTACACTGAAAAATCTATCTTTTGGTAGATATGGCACAATAAAAAGGGTAAAATTGTAGAACCTCTCTTGTGCAAATTTTAGTAGATATTCAGAATTTATTTTTTTGTATAATGTGATTATCCTCCCTATATATCCTCTCCTTGTATATTATTCTACGTGGCTGTTTCTGGTGCTTCGAAATCTTACTTGGCAAAGAATCATGCTTTATTTGGACAAATAATATTGATATATTAATAACTAGTACAACGCCCGAATGTTTGCTAATTTTTTTCTTAAAATCTAAAATTAATGAGAAAAAGTAATTGAAAATTTAAATACCTTTTATAAAAATATATATATTATTATATATTTAGTATGACAGTTTTTATTTGTACGACTTACATGTGTTATATTATCATAATTTTTTTCACTTACAACATATAACTACATTGAACATAAATATATCAATTAATAAATAATTTTATTTTTCTATAAATTATTATTTTTTATTATTTATAAAGATAAATATAATTTATTAATTTCATATATACAATATGGATGTCAAATCGAAGATCATCAAAAGATGATTAATTTGATATATTATATATGTAAAACCGATAAGAAATACAAAAGTTATTAAATTTTAAAATACATTTACAATTCAGTAGCTAATTGTGGAATCAAATCAAAAGTCATGGATATATTAGTCATTTAGTGTCTCACTATGTAAAATTACAAAGAATTAAAGGGTTATATTAGTAAAAGTGATATTAAAATACCTAAGTTAACTCAATAATATTTATGGAATGTCGAAACCTAGATTATTAATTATTAATATATCGATATTATTTGTCCAAACCTAACTACGAAGCATGATTTTTCGCCAAGTAGGATTCCGAAGCACCAGAAGCAGCCACGTAGGCTCAGCGCATTCGGGAATTATATATAGGGAGGATTAATAATCTAGGTTCGGACATTCCATAAATATTATTTAGCTAACTTATGTATTTTAATATCACTTTTACTAATATAACCCTTTAATTCTTAGTAATTTTACATAGGGAGACACTAATGACTAATATATCTCTGACTTTTGATTTGTTTCTTTCAATTAGCTATTGAATTGTAAATGTATTTTAAAATTTCATAACTTTTGTATTTCTTATCCGTTTTACATACATAATATATCAAATTAATCATCTTTTGATGATCTTCGATTTGACATCCATATTGTATATATGAAATAAATAAATCATATTGATCTTTATAATAATAAAAAATAATAATATTTATTAAAATTCATTAGAAAAATAAAATTATTTCTTGTTTAATGTAGTTATATAATGTAAGTCAAAAAAATATTATAATATAACACATGTAAGTCGCACAAATAAAAAAGTGTCATACTAAATATATAATAATATATTTTTTTTTTATAAAAGGTATTGAAAATTTCAATTATTTTTTTCATTAATTTTAGATTTTAAGAAAAAATTAACAAGCACACGTGTAATACACGGGCGTTTATTAGTATGATATTAATTCACAACTTAAGAGTTTAAGATATTTTCAGTTGGAAGGTTTATTTTACTTCTCATTTTAAAACTCCAACTAATTTTATATACTATTACATAAATCAAAATACTATTATTTTGAAAATTTATATTTTGAATAGTTATAAATATCTCTAGTAAAATTATATGTGTAAGAAAATTAATCCATTTAAACTATATTTATACAAAAGTTTAATGAATTTAAAATTCAAAATTATTAAAAACTAAATTTAAGAATATATGTAAATTAAATATTAGATTAATTAATATTTGATAGAATTACAAAATAAACTATTTAAGAAATTTTATTTTTTTCTATAATAATATTATTTAGAAAATATATTATCTAAATGTTAATTTTGTTCAATTTTTTATTTATAATATAATTATGTAATAAAATTTTAAAAATAAATTATTCGAAGTTATTCTATTTTCTTACACTTGAAATCAAACACGCCTTTTATAAGAACAGAAAAATCAGAAAACAAAATCTATAAAAATGCTTCAATTATTATTCAACTATCATTTAAGTTCCAGCTCCTTGTATTCCAACAATCAGCTACAAATACATTTATTGTTTAATTTTGAAGTTATTAATTTTTTTTTTTAAAAAAAAAATCCAAATAGAGAGGGCACAGCCGTTTTGCGACCCGCCCGAGGCCCCGAATAATTTGACCCGGTCATTCAAGCAGACGACACTTCAGAAGTCGGAACTACCAGCCGCTTGTACCTGCAGAGTAAAATGAGTTGCAAATGATCAAAATACCAAAACAACAAACTTAAAATGAGTGGCCACACCATATACATATCATAACACAAAACTATTAGGCACAAGGTTGATGATAGTTCGACCGACATCAAATATAAATTACCATTAAGCATGCTAATAGATAAATAAATTAAATGAAATCAAATGTCTGCAAGTAAATATTTGTACCGTGACTTGCTCTTGAACGAGGATTTCCTCTTCCCGCCACCTCGCGTAGTAGTTCTTTGCTGCCTTTTCTCATTCATATCGCCCTCAAAAAGCTCCTGCATCTCTTCTGACCTCGATTTACGAACTTGGTTGGGTTTCTTGACGGATTTCTTCACGATTTTGCCGGCCTCAACAGCCCTTTTGGCGGCCTTCACTGCCTTCGCTCGGCGATAAGCCACATCAACAAGAAAAATTCCTGTTTTGTCCTCCTTGCTTTTCTGTTTTCCCTGGTCAGTTACAAATATTCTAGCATTTAGAAGCTACTTGAGTAAGCATGCACTCATTGATTTTGCATATTTATGAATATATTTATATTATACTAACTAATAGGAGAAGGTACATCATCTACTAAGTAATTTTTTGATCCTTGGCACGATTTATATGTCAAGAATGTTAGCAATGAACTTCAGAACAATACAACATAGAGAAGGGGAATGCACGCGTGCCTTAACTTCATCTCCTTCCTCCTCTAACATTTCTCTAGCTGCCTCCAATTTCCTTCATTTTTTCCTAGGCAAATTTTTCTAACAAGAAAAGAAAATCAGCTATATATGAATCAAATTGGTCCAGACAAATTATAATGAAGAAATTATTAAAGTGCAGTACCTCACGCTCTCGTTTTCTCTTTTCCTTCATCTTTAATTCTTCTGCTTGTTCAGCACTAATTGCCTCACAGCCAGAACCTTTTCTCTTACCGAGAGCTTCCTATTAAATCATTTGTACATTTTGGAAAACCAAACACGAGAATTAAATTTTCTAAAAGAAAGTGTGTCGATTGTGTGGATAACCAAAAGCATAGAGAAACTCTGTTCAAGATAATTACCTTGGCTTCCTTAGCTACAAGCTTTTTCTCCTTCTCTGTAACAAACCAAGTTCTTTTCGGCCTTGAATAAATTTCATCTTTGTGAGCAATCATGTTCTCTGCCTACAGAGTCGGAATAAAACACATTGATGCACTACAATTTAAAGCTAGGTAACAACTTAATGCTTAAAAGATAAATAAAGTCAAAGAAAAGAAAACCTTTGTTGCCTCCATTTCAGCTTTCCTTAGCGCCATTTCTTCCCTGAAACAAGAATTAAAAAAAAAAAGGATATGTCATATACACTTTCTTTGGAAATCAGATGATACAATGCATCATTTACCTTTCTTCAAGAAGAATTGAGGACACTTCGTCTTCCATTTGCTCAATCATTTGGGACCATCTCCTTACTGATTGCTCAGCTACAATCCGGCTTCTGAGCCTTGAACCAGCTTTCTTAACCTGTCATGATGGTTCAAAATCATTCGTACGTAATTTTTGGCCACAGTCCTAGTTATGTGCTTCATCTTAATTCATTGTCCACGGCCAAAGCTCAAGTTTGACTTTCATCTAATGAAGTTTTTCCTTCAAGAGAATACATAATACTTGCACTAACTCGAGTAAGGGTGGAACATTGACCTAACTAAGTGATCAATGCCATGAAGTTATAACATTATTAAATTTGAAACAACAAACCATGAAAGAGACCATTTGACCTCACCATAAAAAACCTACAAAGTGGACAAATAGCATATACCAAAACGAGAGCAGAACTTCGCAGAGATTTTCAATTGAGCTAATGAACCTCCTAAAGTACACAAAACTAGACATATCCATAACTTGAATGGAAGAGATTGAATCTTACAATCGCTTTTAAGAGAGACCGGTCATCATCAGTAACAAATGTAACAGCGTAACCTTCTCTGCCTGCTCTGGCAGTACGACCCACTCGGTGTACATAACTGCATGGATTCCATATTCACAATTATACAATATCAGTAATATTGAGTTTGGCTTGATGAAAATATAGAAGTAACATGATTTAGTTTCGTTAGTGTGACACTTCATTTATGACTTCCCCATCGTAGGTTTTTTTTTTTTTTTTGATGTCGAGAAATGGTCACAGGAGGTTTTCTTTGATAGGAAGGTTGTTATAAATGAATATTGTTGCGAAATTGCACCTTCAAATGCCTCAGTGGGATAGTTGAATGATTTCCATTTTTTCATAGAAAGGACTACAAGTTGTAAATGCAGAGCTGCATATAATTAGTTGGTACGTTGTAAACCATTATTGTAAATTACCTCGTAAGGTCTCGAGGACATGCAAAATTGATTACTGTCTGAACTCCTATAATATCAAGACCCTGAAAAATTAAACACAAGAGTAAAGTGGACACACATAGCAACATCACATGGATCTAATGATCTTTATAAATAAAAAATTCTAATAGTCGGGGGTGCTTGGTAACATTAAAGAAATGCGAACAGCTATGGGAGTGAAAGAAATGGGTAAATACTTTTCATAACCCAATTTGTAGGGTATGATTCAACAATAAACACCGGGCAATCAACACTTAATGTTGTTGCTACCAAGCACTACTCATTTCATTCCCATTCCCATTCCCACTTCCCAAACCCCCACTCTGAGCACCCAATTAGTTTAGCTGCATGAAACAAAAATCTTATTCTTACACGAGCAGCAACATCCGTAGCAATTAGGAAATCCACTTGTTGCTTCCTGAACAGCTCCAAGGCCTATCTAACAGAATAAAATACTTCAAGATGCAGAAGTGAACCACTCACAAACCCAAAAGGAAACAAACGATGAACATGGGAGTCTGGGAGGGACTTACATCAAGACGCTGGGCCTGGGTGAGGTCTCCATGAAGCTCAGCTGCTCTAAATCCAGCTAACCCAAACAAAATTTTCAGTCTATGTGCTGCCTTCTTGGTTCCACTAACAATATAAATACGAAATTAGTAAGCAGCAGGACTTAAACATCAACATCAACAACATCAACATACCCAGTATATTCCCAAACAAGTTGGGGTCTGGGGGGTCAGTTGTACGCAGACCTTACCCTTGTAATTATACAAGGAGGCTGTTTCCATAGCGACCCAGGTGCGTTGCGTCGTTTGATATATTTTTTCTAGAAACTTCACTAATAGAAGAAGCACTAGAATTTAATTGAGCCATTTTGATCTAGTCCATTATTTGCACGATGCCAGAAGAATTGTCAACATTGACTCTTCCAGCTCCATTTGCAATGGACTCAAACCGAAGAAAAAATGCATTAGATGCTGCAAAGAAATTTCGGCATGAATATGGATACAACAAATGTTATTCGGAAAGCAAAGCTACTAATATAAGTATATAAATAACAGAAAATAGAAATGGATAGTTCTAAGTTGGACAGAAATTGCATTCAGCCTACACTTCCATTCCTCACTCAAAATGCAACACTGTAATGCCATCATGTGAACATCTGATGCCTTCCATTGAATTTTATTTTGTGAGATCTATTTGAATCTTATTTAGTTTGAAAGGCAAGTTCTATCGAACGGCATTCGACCGACGATGCTTTATGGATCCGAGTGTTCGGCTACTAAATATGAAAATGATCAAAAAAATGCTAGTGGCAAAGATGAGAATGCTGAGATGGATGTGTGGGCATACTAGGTTGGACAAGATTAGAAATGAAAGTATTAGAAATAAAGTTGGGGGAGCGCTCGTAGAGGAGAAAATGAGAGAATCACGTTTAAGATGGTTTGGGCATGTGGGTAGGAGAGACTTCGAGGCCCCGGTGACAAGGGTAGAAACATTATAATTGAAAACTAAAAGGGGGAGGAGGGGCAGACTAAGAAAACTTAGAAGGAGACAATAAAAATAATTTAAAATACTTAAATTTGAATGAGGATATGTGTTTTGACTGAGCACGATGGCGACATGTGATCCATATAGCCGACAACACTTAGTGGGATTTCAAATTGGTAGATCTATTTGCATTTCTTAAGGTAATTTAGACCTCTCTCAAAAACTGATTACTTGGTTGAAACCACCATTGGAATTTTCCCTCTTTCAATGTTGGTAAGCAAATAGTGCCAACATGAGTACAATAAAGCCCAAAGTCGAGCTCAATATAAGGGCCTCTTCTATGAGTTCACTCACTGTATTTTAGGGATGAAAAACTGTCCACAGTATATTTATGCACTATTTGCCTGTTGAGATTTGACAAGAAGGTCACTTGAATCAAGCAATTAGTTGTTGACAAGAGGGGTCTGATTCCTCTCAGGCAATACAAATGGACCTACCGATTAGTTATTGGCATGTTGAATCTCTAGCAAGGAAAGTTTTAGATATTCCACATCATCGATTTTATGTATCAGTGTTTCTGTAGGTAAGCTAATAAGTTTAATTTATGACAGGCCAAAACCTGAAAATAATCACTTTAGATGTGAATGTTTTGGAGCATAATGAAAGAAGAACTGCTTCTTGATTCCCTTCTTGACAAAGTTAAATTTTGAAAAGTTAAAAGTAGAAAAAATGAACAGTCATCAATATAACTTCGAAGTTCAGTATATGTTTACGGATCTTAGCAAACGGAAATTGCAGTAAATCCAGCAAAACAGAGTACTATGACTTACTCCTCAGTTAATGCTGATGGCCGCTTTGTTGACGGATCAGCTGATAAGCGGAGTGGTTTAACCAGAGAGAGCTTGATAAGTTCATCAACTCTCTCTGTCATGGTTGCTGAAAATAGCATGGTCTGCCTCCTTTTAGGACACAGCTTGACCTGTAGAGTAAACAATTATGAATTATCAAAAACATAAAGTTCGGAACAGATGGTACATCAACATAAAAGGAAGCTAAAAAGACAAACGAAATAGAAAATTACAAACTCAAGACAGACGGACAGACAAAACAGGAAGAAGTATATCAAATAAAAAGAGATGACTCTCAGCAAAACTGGCTATGTTTCCAATACGATAAACCAAATAAATGAAAGAAATTTCCTGCTGAAAAAGAAAATGCATGAAAGTTTACCAACTCATGAATTTCACAACAAAATAAATGACAGAATTTCCTGCTAAAAAAAGAAAATGCCTGAAAGTTTACCAACTCATGAATTTCTGCACTGAATCCAAGCTCAAGAAGCCGATCAGCTTCATCAAGTATCAAAATTGCAAGTTCGTCTAGATGTACTGACATAGAGTTGTGCAAGTGATCTATCATGCGTCCTGGAGTAGCAACAACTATATCCGGAAGTGATCGCAAGGCTGCTTCTTGAACCTATATTACATCAGATTAAGAAGAATACAAAAAGAAACTCTAAGAGGCAGCAGAAACTATAGCATCAAGTACCAACAGCTTCCTAATTGGGAGTTCTCATTGACACTATTCTCAACATCCAATTAACTAGCACAATATTATATGAATATTCACTAGGAACACAAACTCATTACAATACATGCCAAATATCATGCACTTGCATCAACACTTTACAGAGAGCCAACAAAAGCCATATGCACTAATAGAGGGGAAAAGGAGCCGCATAAGACCTTACTTATTTCTACAGTCTTATTAGGGAAAATAACCACTCTGGGTTATCTTTTGACTACGCATGAGCAAAAAAATAAATCTAAAAAAATCTAAGTACAGCAAGATTCTGACACTAGTTTCATGGATCAAGGCCAGGAGCAATTGTTTAGCAGCAGGATATAATCCTATTACCCACTAATAGAACCATATCCTCTCTTTTCTTCTCCATTTCAAGCCAAAAATGTACAAGAATGAAACTAGTCCTATTTCAATTTTCATCCAATAAGCTGAATTTTCTAGAACCTGACTCAACATTTCTCAGTCCAACAACAAAGAACTATTCAGTCACAGATGCAGAGGTTTCAACACTAACCATATGCATCTAGTTTTGAAAAAACCAAACCGTTAGCCTCAAACAGAAATTATAATCATGCCATGTTTATTCCAAAATGCAAACTAGTATAGATTCTTAGTGAAGATGGTGATTATTGCTCTTTTGATCTAGTTTAGATGGACATCTTATCCATGAAATATGCTGATACTAACTAGCTAAATAAGTTACACAAACAAAACCATGCATATCAAGCCTCCACAACAGATCTACGTTAATTTTAAAAGAAGCCAAATGTCGAATGCGACCAAAGGAAACGGGAATACAAACCTTCGTTGAAAGACCACCAACGACCAGACAACATCTAATGTCGGTCATAAACTGAGCAAGTTTGCCAATCATACTATGAATCCTGAAAGAATAAGAATCTAGCTTTAATGAACCAAAATTGTAGAATAAAATGGGATACAAAGAAGGAAAGTAAATGGACTTCGATTCGATGAAATTATATTAAATATGCCAAGCCAAAGTTAAGAAAGGCTGCTTCCATCAAGATTGTCCGGATCACCGCAGGTGAGAGTGCAAGCAATAACAGACAAACAGCAATAAAATAGCGATTCATGACAAAATTTCTACATATCCGGATGACAGTTAAGGACATATGAGTTTACCATTTCCATTCTCAATGAACTTTTGGCACACACAGGTAAAACTTTACTATCATTCAGACATACAACAGGAATAGTACTTCTTATGCACTTCTAACAATTACTCGCCTGTAAAGTTGCTTGCTAATTCCATATTAACAAAATACTATTGCAAATAGAACTTTACCATTTCCCCTATTTCACTAATTCACTCTTCTTGTTCCTGAAAAAGACTCATACAGTTTACGAATCATCAAGAGTAGAAACAAACGTGAAGCCTAGATCTCAATGTCAGCTTGAGAAGAAGAAAAAAAAAAGTAACAGAGAGCAAAATTGCGCCTCTCCACCAAGATTAAATCCTAGGCATGGAAGGAATCCCAAAAAATCTTATGTTAAATAATAAACAAATACCAAACTGAGATATTGCTCCATCCAACATATAAACAGCACACACAGAAAAAATAATTTTAAAAAAATAATAGTTGATAAAAAATAATATAAGATCACATATCAACACTGTAAGACGTAAAGCTTACTGAACAGCCAACTCCCTCGTTGGAGTGAGTATTAGGACCCTTATAGCTGGCCTATTCTTTGGACGGAAAAAAAGCGTCTCCAATGTTGGCAGAGCAAATGCAGCGGTCTGATATTACAAACAATATATTTCATTAGTCTACAGTCATCAAGCTGGTCCTCTTTCACAAGAGAATCAAAGAAAATGTATTATGTATTTCCAAATTAACATGATTGTGAATAGAGAATTATAATAAACCACGGCAGAAATGTAAGAAAAACCAAAAAAGTTATAATCTTAGAGCTACCAAAAGAAAGTGGGCAACACTATCCAACTAATTTTGAAGTTAAATATATATCTAGTGCTTTAAGGGACTTGCTGTGCTTTTATGAATCAATGTAAGGTACAACTTAAACAGAACAATCAAATTCAAATGGTACTTGTAATGAAAATACGCAAATTGGACATACCTTTCCGGAACCAGTGATAGCACTCCCACAAATATCGCGTCCAGTTAAGGCCAATGGTATGCAAGCAGCCTACCCATAACAGGAAAAAACATCAACTCTCAAAAATGGTGAACCAAATAAAACTGTCTTAAAAACAAAAGGCAAAGGGATAGTGACAACCAGTACGAAACTGAATGGGAGTGGGCTTACTGTAACCCAAAGCTTCACAGGCCCTAAGCAACGGCCTGGAGAGATTCAAATCCAAAAACGAATTTGCATGATATGTTACACCCTCCACCGCTGCAAAGAAAGGTTTATCATT